ATTCACAATCAAATTTGAGTTTGATGGTCCAGAGTTAATGAAATCTGATGACGTTAACTAGCCGTGCACGAATATTCTCCTGCCTTATCTTGGGTACATTCGTTTCATCGGTTGCATCAGCTCGACTGTTCATTTCACAGATTCGTTTATGGTGAAGATGGAAATCTTTGCTAACAATCTACGCTCCGGTTTAATGCAGTCCCTGACCAAGTAATTACATTACAGTAATTAGAAGCTTATCCGGGCCTATCACATTTGTGGACGGTTTTGGGTCGCATAGGAAAGTAAACGTGGAAGTTACAAAATCTGTCCACTAGCAAATTAACGGCTAAATAGTCGTTTTCAGTAGATCCTCATCGGGATAGAACAATCACAACTATGTATATTAAAAATGAGACTGGGTCTTAACTTGGTGCGACGGTTTGCGTACCTCAATGACCCGTTGAGCTATACTGGGTGATGGCTCCGGGCACCTTGAGAGCTACTCCTACCAGCTTGGTCAATGGTGAGAGGTCAAACAAACTCAGTCTCCTGCTCCTCCATGTTCAGGGTTTGAAATGGGATTTCGTCCATTTAAGTAAAACTAAATCATTGCCACTTCCCCGCTGTCTTGCCGAAAGCCTTTTGAGCCAAAGGCTTTGGATGAGGACACTAATCCCCCATCTGTCTAGGTCTGGGCGCCTTGGCAGTTTCTTAGCCCACATACAACCATGACATTTTCTTCAAACATAAGCTTCACCCTGCATCGGCCGTCGAGCAGATTATCAAGGGTCGCATTATCTGCTGCATACAGCAGGACGGATAAGCGAAAACATGCTACTGCTGGTGCCTCCCTTCTTTATTTTCCGCCTTTTTCTCTTAGTCCAATCCCGGCCCCCATTACTAGCCTCCCGTCTATAATTCCCAGCTTAATTGACAGCAACCGAATTGCCACTGGAGTAGAACCATCTGCAGCCACCATCACACAGCACCTATCAGACGCCTATCGGCAAAAGTCCCTTATAAGGCCACGCTATCACGTTTCCATGGCAACATTCAACGTCCGCACTCTAAGACAAACAGGTCAACAGGCTGCACTCGCACGCACCTTGGACACACTGAGTATTGATGTGGGTTGTGTGTCTGAAACTATGTTCAGTGACCCTAACGGGGTTATTGAATTGACTGCACGCGGCTTGTCCTCTCGTTATTGGTTGCACGCACCTGGAGACGCAGATACAACACTCACAGGTCAAGCTGGTGTAGGTATCATTCTCGGCTCCAAGGCTGAGCCATCGTTAGTTGATTGGATTCCGGTGGACAGCCTTTTATGTGCAGCCCGTTTGACGACATCGGCTAAGGTGGACCCATAAAGTAGTACAAAACGCTGTTTGTTTGTGCTTTCCGTTTATGCTCCCACCGACTGCAGTTCTAACGCTGTCAAGGACACTTCCTAGCACAAACTGAACGCCCTACTACGCAGTGCAAATAGTTCAGATATTATAGTATTTGCAAGGGATATGAACGCACAAGTAGGGCGCCTGGGCTCTTCAGAAGCTCAGCTGGGTGGTAATTATGAACTTAACTCCGAACGGACTGACAACGGTATGCGTCTCCTGCAACTGTGCGCGGAGCACCAGTTGTTTCTTAGTAGCACTGCATTTAGACACAGTGGGCGCCGAAGTGCCACTTGGCGTCCACATGTAGGTGGCCAGCGATGGACCCAAATTGACCACATGGCTATAAGTTACAGATGGCTTGGTTCCATCCTGGATTGCCGCTCGTACCGGAGTAGCTGTGTCGACTCTGATCATGCCTTGGTACGCTGTCGTTTCTCCATGAACTTTACTGGAAGGCGCAACAAGCGTCTCCTCCGATTGGCAACTGAGAAATTGTCTCAGTCCTCGGTCAGGCAAGCGTATCAAGACGTACTGCATACCGAAATTTCACTGCCTTGTCTTAATGACACTAAGCTTCAGGGGAATAGGAGCTCGGCCGCCATGCACAACGCACGAACATCTGCTTGTGTCACTAACCATCTTAATCGCACTAGTCACTGGATATCCGAGAGTTCGGAGAACATGTTGCAATCTAGAAGACACCTCCCGGATGTCGCTGAACACAATGTGACCAAAGGAGCTATTAGGCGTGAACTAAAGCGCAGCCTATTTGCTGACAAGCAAGCCTGGTTGACCAGTCTGGCTCAAGAAATGGAGGAGGCAGGAGCAGTAGACATTCACCGCAAGCTCTTACAGATACTCTGCACCACTGGTCCCAGAAAGCCAGGCATCAGTGAGACAATCACAGACAGCGCGGGTGCGCTCATACACAATAAGAAGGGCCGTACGCCTCGTCGGGCGGAACAGTTTCAAGATCAGTTCAGCTGGCCACCTGCCCCCGAACCTCTTCCTACTCAGGTGACGCAGGACGAGCCATGGATGGTCAATTTAGAGCCTCGTCGGAGGCCGAGGTCCGAAACGCGATCACAGCCCTTAACCGTTTTCATGCCGCTGGTCTGGATTCCCTCCCACCTGCACCAATTAAGGATGGAGGTGAGGTCATCTGGAGAGTATTGACCTCCCAATTCGAACATATTTGGAAGAAAGTGAGTGTGCCGGCTAATTGGGGTGCATCGATTGAAGTAGCAATATACAAGAAGGGCAGTCGCACAGACTGTGCGAACCACAGTGGTATTGGCCCAACGCCAGTTGTGACAAAATTACTGGCCTAGATTCTCATTCGTCGCCACACTACGGAAAGGGAATCCCGCACTAGGGAAGAGCAGGAAGGCTTTCGCTCAGGGCGTGGCTGTATAGACCATATATTCACTTTGCGGCAGGTGCTAAAGCAGCACCACGCGTACCGCAGACCGACAATAGTTGTGTTTCTCGATTTCAAGAGTGCGTTAGATTCGGTCGATCGATCGATTCTGTTCGAAATACTTGCGCGGAAAGGTGTTCCCACGAAATATGTAAACGTCCTTCATACTCTATACTCGAACACTACAGGCCGCGTCAGGGTCTATGGTGTCCTATCAGTTAGCTTTCCGACCACAAGCGGCGTTCGTCAGGGTTGTTCGATTTCCCCATCTTTTTTCAATTTCGTCGTTGATTCTATCATGGAGTATTCCCTTGCGGAATCTCAAGATGTACGCGTTGAAGTGCTGCCTGATGAAAGGTTAGTTGATCTGGATTATGCGTACGATATCGTCTTGCTTTTCGACAATGTTAGGGCAGCACAATCAACCATGAATAGCCTCTCTATAGTGGTCCCATTATTTGATATGCATTTTGCACCTTCAAATTGCAAAGTGTTGCTGCAAGACCACCAGCCACTTGATGACCCCTTGACACTTGCTAACGAGGAACTCGAGGTGTTTGATCAATTCATTTATCTTTGCAGCTGCATCATCAATGATGGGCGCATAGAAACTGACGTGAGCTTACGTATTGCAAAGGCCAGAGCTGTCTAATTGAACCTGCGACCTCTTTGGCGACAGAATAGAATTTCCCTCCTTTTGGAAGGCCGTGTATACAAGACCACAGTGAGGGCCATTCCGCTCTATGTTAGTGAGACTTGGCCCTTTCGGTCTGAAGATCTGAGGTGCTGATGCTGCGTTATCTTTGCACGATAGCCAGCTGTGTGTGACGGTATTTTGTCTATACAAGGTGTAGGCGCCTTGACCCTGAATGTTTGCTTAGGGCATTAAGGTTTTTAGGTAAGTCGCCCTTCTCTCCCTCTTCTTGTTCTTAATTTCAAAGGTCCTCATGGAAGTATGGCAACGAAGCATCAGTTCAAATGGCTGATGTACTGCTGTTGATGATTTTGATGTTGATGATATTAAAAATGAACACAAGTTATGGGCATTAATGAATTAACTTTTCTTATCAATAAGGCTGCCGGATTAGTCCAACCTGTGTGAAGCCGGGTAGAATAAAGTGATGCTCATGATTCCTTGTGTTTATCTGTGACCAGAGTAGAAAGTGTGTCTTCCCAAAATTCTTCTGTTCACAAATTCAAGGGTTGTAGAGCCGTATTGCGATTGCCTCCGCTGTCGACAGCAGATGGCATCTAACAATTCGGTTTTAAAAAGGTAAATGAGTTTATTTTTTGTTTGAAATCCAATAAACGTGACGACACCGCACTCAGCGCATTCTTCCTCACACCAATGTACAGCCAAGCTACGCAATGATCACGACCTCTTACGGAGAGTTGCCAGTATATATTGTATACATAAAAAGAAATTAGTTCCTTTAATCCGTTGGAGCACAATTGATGTTGAGGTGGAGCTTACGCGTAAGTCCGCCACAAAGTATGCTTTGGTGGTGGCTTGGGGAAATCTTCGGGTGGTTTGCACTGCTATCTCGTCACGCTTATACAGTAACTTAAATATATTAAGCTCTTTCTGCGGAAGCAATGTTTATCTTTGGTACTTGCGTTTCCCTGTAATGATGGCTAAATCTTTTGACTCTTTCTACTTCTAACGTTTGTTTAGTTTAGTATTTTTAAAGGAAACGGTCCAAAATTTCCACATTGTCTAAAATTGTTTGAAAAGTTTACTTGTATTAATTGTTACCATCGCATTCCGAACAAAAATCAACAGATTTGCGTCAAGACATATCCAAATTAACTGGTAAATCAACGTGTGTAAGAAAATGTCAGGATTACCTCCCGGTCTCATTATAAATGCTAAATAACCTATGTACTAAATCACCTACCCTAACGAACGTTTGTGAAAATGCGAAGAGTTACTACATAAGTAAATTTACAAGTTGTTCTCAACTTTTGCTACATATATGTAGTACTTGTACTGAAACGTATTATTTGACAACATTACATATATATTGGTGTGTTGGGGTTGACGCATGCGAAATCTTATACGTGCCAAGATCACCGACCATGTCATATCACCAGCAACGTATAACATGAGAACTTTATCACTGTTTGCAAAATTGTACTAAGCTTTTAATTGGAACAAATATTGTGAAACCGATCTAAGGTGGAAGACGGTAAGGAAAAGTTTACTGAATTAATTGTATTGATTAGGTGTATGCATAAAAAAGCACGTTGACACTCCATTTTAAATAGCAAGAGCTATAAGCGTGAATTTCGACAGTCGAATAAGGTTCAAAATGCGTCACGGATACAGATTACAAAATGGAAGACTCCTCCGAGGAATTCAAATTACCCAGTGCCAAACGCCAATTGCCATTAAGAAGGGAACAAGAATTGGTACTCCGTATTTCAGGAGCAAGGATAATAAATAAATATTTTTCCACAATGATGAGATCAACCATCTTGCGTTCAGTTTTGGAAATGGCTTCTTAGGTACCGGTTGACCAAGAAATGCGCAAAGTGGTTCCCATCCTTGCTTGACATCAAACAGGAGGAGTCTGTCTGCTGGAATTGCTTCGATTACTTCCCTATTCCACTTCTCATAGACTTCTATCAATGTTTCGTCGTCAACCTTGTCACTACTTTTTCCACACAAGCGTCCGACAATGTACTCGAGCATTGGAAGAAAATCTGACCCGAAATGTATGCTGCTGATGAATCGCTCAGCCCAATCTTTATTTGGATATCCACCGCGCGGCATAATGGTTGACTTAGCGCTGTCAAGCCATCCCTTAGTATCACGGATGGTGAGGATGAACTGAAAGGAAATATGGCGACGTTAAATAGAAGGATCGGTAAATTTAAACGCAGTGATTAAAGGAACAACAAAAAAGCACCAGTTAGTGGAAGATGCCCCGAGACAATTGGCCATTGCGCTAATATCTGGGGAAAATTGATCAGTCGGGCCAAATTAATCCAAGTCGTACACAAGTATTGTGATACCACTGATAAACGAGCGTTTTGTGGGGGATTGCTTGTTCAAACAAGGCACTACTATTTATTCTAGGAAAGAATAATCGACGGTTATGTGCTTTTCGAAGTGTTCAGTGCTGAGCGACCTCGATGTGGTGGTAGCAAGTCTCTTTCCAAACTTATCCAAATCAGTCCTGTCCACAGCCTGTTGCTGAACGTAGCAGACAACCAAGACGGAAGAAAGAACTCCGGCAGCAACCATAAAGCTATACATAACGGCTTGTTAAGGCGTACCGAGGCAGTATATATTGCAGCTGCTATTCACTCGTGCGAATAATAATCCAATCTCGCCGAATGAAAGGAAAATGCTACGCTGCACTGTGTATTTTGCTAGTACTAGGTGTTTTGTTATTAAATCTTAGGTGTACGGGCAAAGTACGCATTCCCCACAGCAGAATATTCATGCACGCCTAATAAATATAAGTTCAAATGTTAATGCAGTAAATCACCAGAGTTTAAACTGACTGGCTTATAAAATTTTACGAACATGGAGAGAGAATAATGAAGTGGAAGAGAAAAACATACGAGGTAAGCGAGTTAGTGAATGACAAAATAAATATTTTGCTAAAGAACAAGACTATACTTCAGCATCGATTACCGCCATACCTAATGCATAATCTCCTTCGCTAATAGGAAACCGTGATTAGATGCATAAGATGAACTAAGCCATGATTCACATGAAGTAGGGCGCGACGAAATGAATGACTCACTTTACCAAAAGCGCTCAAGTGAGCAATATAAATTTCTAAGCAACTTTATACTATTCATTCATTATCCAATTCAATCAGCTTATTAAGATAGGTACCGAAAAAACAGAATAAGATGTCTAGGAGTACAATTGAACTTCATTGATTACATTAAAACGCATGGGCCAAGACTACGGAGAAGATCAAACAAGAAATATTTGAGACGTTACCAAAATAGGAGATGTCAAACAAGTATCCGATTTGAGTAGAAATGCTCAACAAATCATGAAAAACAGGCCCATAATAAAATGATTGATAAAAAAAATTTATATGTTGTTATGCTAAAATGAAGCGAAAGACATCCGTATTATAACATAACAAAATAGAAGAAAAGATAAAAGAGAACCATAGATGAAGGAGAAAGAAAGCCACTGCAATCTTACGCGCAGCATAGCAAGGAGGCGTAACAGTGGTTTTCATCAGTTCATATGAAATTAGACCACTTAACAACCAGGAACATAAAAGAGCAACAAGTATAGGTAGGTGCAAACTTTAGTGAAATTAGTCGAACAATCGCTCCTGGTCTCAGAATTGTCTATTTTATCTGGCCAAATTGCCTAAGAGCCTCGATCAATTTGTTAGGTGGACACAAAAGCGATTGACACAACCGAATACTGATCGTCTCGGCTGTAGAGTGGGTGCGGAGGCGCAGGCAATTCGATTGGGGTGGAGGGACCTTGTATGGTATTGGAAAAGCATGGATTAGGTCGACTTCATGCCCACTATTAACCAGATGAGCCATAACAGAGCTAGTTACAGCCCTGATACCGCCTCGACGCAACCAGCTTCGAAGGTGCTCATTAATGCGCATGCAGAAGCGTCGCGCAGTTCGCCCGATGTAATTGGCGCCGCGGGCGCACTCGAAATTCTAAATGACCATAGAGGCGGTCCGCATCGGACAACTGGTCTTTGTTACAAATACGAATGACGGGGTCTGTTGGGAAATTGCACTTGAGCTTCTCAACTAGGAAGGTTAACATATTGGCAGGTGAAAGACTTCTGGCTACATGTTCAGCGGCTGTGTCTCCTTTGAAATGTACTCTTATACAAAATGCTTTTTCTAAGCCGCTGGAGACAGCACCGGGTCGGGATTGGATGGCATATTCTTTAGAACGAATCGATCAGAATACACGTTTTCACGCACACATGTTGAATGACCCCTAACTTCCAACACAATATGTCTTCAGAACAAATTCTGCGGGCGCTTATTGTTAGACAGTAAATTAGATTTCGCTTGTACATCAAAGGTAATTAACTATGGAAGTTCGTACGCTGGCCACTCCAGGTTTTCATCCAGTAGACTTGCGGTTGGATCGAGCCACCTACCCTTCCAGTTAACAATACATAAAGTAACGGCAACCGGTTGTTCGCTTCATTCTCGCTGGTAAATTGCAATGCTGCATGGGCCGAATTGGAGCGTTTAATAACGGCGTCTGGGTCAATGGACACTTCGGTTAAAACAAGTGTGTCATCCGTATAGCTATCGTAACAATCCAGGGTGAAGATCGCTGCATGCAGTTTGGTATTCTCTACTTTCGCCTTAAATGCTGCAGCAAAAACAGACCTAGTGGCGATCCCATGGCTACATCATATTAGACCTTAATAAATGTCATTGAATAGAAACTGTAGGTTACTGGGTCAAAGCAAAAGGACGCTTTTCAAATCATGCAATGGTATGCCTATCGTTGTTTGTGTTTCTTTGACGTGGATGCCAATGTTATTACTTGTCGAAGGAAGTAGGATATTGACGGAAAGCTAGAGAACCTAATCGAAAAAGCATGTATTTAACGATGTTGCAGACCCTGGTACTTTCGGTGAAATGAAACGTGTCAGGATGGCTTTATTGTGTAAGTCGATGTCTTATTGTATTATGAATTGCTACCAGCCATTAAATGGCAGCATGGTATGGTAAATTTACCAATGATATAATTATACGAAGTGGAACATCAGTCTAATCAATTTTCGGTAATCCGTAAGGTCTTGGAAATTCCGAATCATTCAGCTCAAGGTCAACCTTAAGAGTCTGGGAGGTATCTGCTAAACGGAAATTCTTGCAAGCTTTGATACCCTGCTGTTCAGTTTAGCTCCTTTTGGCCCTTTCCTCTAATATTTCGGGAATATTTTATTATATTGCTCAGAATTCCTTTGATTTTGTTTTTCTGGTCTTTTTCCAATATAACGACCTCGGCAAATCTGTTTGGTTTACTCAGTATTATATTATCATTTCGCCTTAATTCTTCAGCGCATCAAAATGCTTGCGTTTCAGTGGGACAAGATTGTGGATTTGGCATTCACCATACCTTAGAAATTGCTCACTAGATAACAAATGAATCGTTCCAGGTCCCGATTAGGCTTTATAACTACCATTTGCATCCACGTCAAAGAAACACAAACAACGATAGGCATACCATTGCATGATTTGAAAAGCGTCCTTTTGCTTTGACCCAGTAACCTACAGTTTCTATTCAGTGACACTTATTATGGTCCAATATGATGTAGCCATGGGATCGCCACTAGGTCTGTTTTTTGCTGCAGCCTTTAAGGCGAAAGTAGAGAATACCAAACTGCATGCAGCGATCTTCACTTTTGATTGTTATCATAGCTATACGGATGACACACTTGTTTTAACCGAAGTGTCCACTGACCCAGACGTCGTTATTAAACGCTCCAATTCGGCCCATGCAGCATTGCAATTTACCTGCGAGAATGAAGCGAACAACCGGTTGCCGTTACTTGATGTACTTTTAACTGGAAGGGTAGGTGGCTCGATCCAACCGCAAGTCTACTGGATGAAAACCTGGAGTGGCCAGCATACGAACTTCCATAGTTAATTACCTTTGATGTACAAGCGAAATCTAATTTACTGTCTAACAATAAGCGCCCGCAGAATTTGTTCTGAAGACACATTGTGTTGGAAGTTAGGGGTCATTCAACATGTGTGCGTGAAAACGTGTATTCTGATCGATTCGTTCTAAAGAATATGCAATCCAATCCCGACCCGGTGCAGGCTCCAGCGGCTTAGAAAAAGCATTTTGTATAAGAGTACATTTCAAAGGAGACACAGCCGCTGAACATGTAGCCAGAAGTCTTTCACCTGCCGATATGTTAACCTTCCTAGTTGCGAAGCTCAAGCGCAATTTCCCAATAGACCCCGTCATTCGTATTTGTAACAAAGACCACTTGTCGGATGCGGACCGCCTCTATGGTCATTTAGAATTTCGAGTGCGCCCGCGGCGTCATTTACATCGGACGAACTGCGCGACGCTTCTGCATGCGCATTAATAAGCACCTTCGACGCTGGTTGCGTCGAGGCGGTACCAGGGCTGTAACTAGCTCTGTTATGGCTCATCTGGTTAATAGTGGACATGAAGTTGACCTAATCCATGCTTTTCAAATACTATACAAGGTCCCTCCACCCCAATCGAATTGCGTGCGCCTCCGCACCCACTCTACAACCGAGACGATCAGTATTCGGTTGTGTCAATCGCTTTTGTGTCCACTTACGAAATTGATCGAGGCTCTTAGGCAATTTGGCCAGATAAAATAGACAATTCTGAGACCAGGAGCGATTGTTCGGCTAATTTCGCTAAAGTTTGCACCTCCCTATATTTGTTGCACTTTTATGTTCCTGGTTGTTAATTGGTCTAATTTCATATGAACTGATGAAAACCACTGTTACGCCTCCTTGCTATTTTACGAATATGATTTTATATTCTTGACTTTTTATTAGTCAAATTCCCTGGTGCACCTGCGATCACTTTTCCTAACGGTTTTTTATATGGATGCCAGTATATCTTTAATTTTCCTATCACATTTGCCTGTTTTTTTACTTTTTTACGCAAAGATACTTATTTCTTTATCTCGGCTGCCATTTTACTTTACATAATGTTTTATATTCTGTTATCTATTTGTTAAGCATTTCTATCCTGTTCTTTTATCAAATTTTTATGCTTTGGAGCCGCCATGTTCATCTATACATCTTCGCGATATAGCAGGTACTTATCCATTTCGTCAGCATAATACTTAATAAAATTTTCAT